GCACAGTAACTAAGTATTACATCATGTATAACAATATAAAATAATATACTAATAATAATTAAATAATAACTAAAAATAACTAATAATAAAATAAAATAAAATAATCGTTCTATAACAATAGCATATATATATACAGTAGATATAGTATATATAGTATATATAATAGATATAATATATATAGTATATATAGTATAAATAGTGTAAATAGTATATTTAGCAGATAAAAAAAGCAATACATTCAAAATTTATAAACATAGATAGAATATAAAAGACAATAATAAAGAATATTTACTTTATATACTTGCCAAATTCAATGCTTTTCAAGTATTGTAATGTTTGATATTATGCAAATAAACTTTTATTAGCTACTTTATGAATAGAAATTCTAAAATAGATTCAATTTTAATTATTACACTATATTATTTTTTTGTAGTTTAATTTTTTGAAAACTTTAGTTTAAATAATTATTAAAAAGATAATTCTATTAGTAATTAAAAATATATAAATTTATTTAAAAAATTATTAAAAATATATTTATAATCTATTTTTTTAAATTTTAAAATATTTAAATAAAATTTTATTTAATAATATTTAAAAATAAGAATTATATTATAGTAGTATTTAATTTTATACAAATTGAACAAATAAATAAAAAAAACTAATAAATAGTGCATTATGCATTGCAATGCATTGGTTTGATGATTACAAAATGTATAGTGAAAAATAAAAGCATTAATCAAATAATTACAAATCTGTAATAGTGAAAAGTAAAATAATCTGTAATTGACTTGCACAAATTATGCATTTAATTAGTATAAATAAAAAATATAAACAAGAAAAAAGTTAACTCTTTTGCTAACAAAAAGTGAAAACCAAAGTTTATATAAAAATAAATACAGGAAATGGTAATTTTAGTATAGTAGTTGGGTTGTTATCTTTCAAGTATCAGGTTTAAGATTCAAATTCTACCTATGGCAAAATTTGAAAATTAATCTGTGTTATGGCAAACTGTCTCTTAATAATCAGTTGGATTAGTGTATTTGTAACCTTAAATTATACTATTTCAAATAAAAGCTTAAAGCATCTATGTGAAGTGTAATGTTATATATATATAGAAGAATATTAATAACTAATGTTATATAATACTTTAGTACAAATTTACAATAAGACCACTAGGCACAGTAAACTAAGAAACTATGAGTCAGAAATCTACTTGAAAATTCCTGAATAAAAAGGTAGTATGAACTTTTAATAGTATGATATATCCAATAAAAGCTTATAAAACACCTTCAAAAAAATAGGTAGATAAACTGGATATTAAGATGTATAGAGAAGCCTATGACCAACCAGGCTGTCAGAATTGCTAGAAAAAAAGAATACATATGTATACTATACCAGGCTATTTGAATTAAAAGTTAGAAAAGTCCTGTTAGTTCTAAGTAGTGATTAGTAAAGGATAATAGAGAAGATGTCATAATGATAAGTAATAAGATTCTAGTAAACTTTACAAGAGTAAAAATAGTATAATGTAATAGTTAAACAAGTAATCTCTGTAACTGCAAGTATTAGATAAGTATAATATATTGTATAAAACTAAATCAGCTGTATATAGAACATGAAAAGTTCTAGTAAGTTTTCTGTTAAAGATAAATTAGTTTTAAGGATTTCAAAAGCATTGGATACTTTGGATGAGTATAGCCTAAAAGATGTTTTATGATTACAAGTCAAATTATATATGCAGAGAGTTTAAATAGATAAGACCTATAGTTGGCTTGCAGGCATGACACCTAATGTAGAACCTGTATAGTAATATATAGGTGACTACTTAAATTAGATACCAAAAATGCATATGTGGCTAGTTGTAACCTTCTATGTATAGAAGCTCTTAAAGGCATTCATATTTAAATACTTGAATAAAAACATTGATTCCCAAAGGTAGAGACTTTAACATTAAAAAAAATAAATAAATAAATAAATAAATACAGCTAGAATAAAAACTTATACAAATATTTTATCTATTGTTTATTGTTATATTATTTTGTAGTTTATCAGCTCTGAGTGTAACCTATACAAGTACATATATATGTATATTGAAGTTACTTTTTTCAAGCTATAACAGTAATATTTGTTATACAATTCTGTTATTAATTAGTTCTGAAGTAATTTAAGATTAAATAATTAACAAATAAAATATACAATAGTCCAAATGAAGAAAGCAGAAAAAACTTCAAATGAAGCAAGTGATACAAGTAACTTAGAATAAGAAAGTTAGATAAATGAAGCAGGTCAAAAAAATAAAAAAAGTAAAGTCAGTGAAGCAAATAAAAGAAGTGGGAGCTTTTTTGAAGTATTAAGTTATTATAAAGAAAAAGCAAATAACTTAGATGCAATTTTAATAAAAGTAAGAGATTTATTTAAAGATTTTAAATATGCTGAAAAACATATACAATGATATGCAAAGTTTAAAAAGTTTAAAATATAGTTAGGTCAAAGCATTGCAATAAAAACAGACAAAGTAATGAAAAAAAGAATAATTTACTGCTAACATTCTAGTTAAGATAAAGCAAAAAATTTAGAAAATCCTAAAACATCTGTTAAACAGAGTTGTTAGTAGCACATTAATCTTTCATGACTACTTAAACAAAACCTGAATTTACTTGTTTATATAACAACATTAGTGAATGAATGTAACTATAAGTTGTTTGTTGAAGTACTACAATTTGTGAAATTAAAAGCATTTACTAAACAGATGCAAGATGATATTGCATCTTATATGAAAAAATATCATTTTAGTGCACTATAATTAGGTAAATTTTTAGCTAAAAATATCTATTACACTTAATTTTTTTTCAAGACCTTTATGCTAAAATTAAGAAATACAAGCCATCTACATAATTTGTTAAAGATAATGCAGCTTACTTTTATGAGAAAATATTGTCTAAACAATGTAAAAATCCTTAGTAGTTTGTAAAAATAAAGTGAAAAATTGAGACAAGCATACTTATTAGTCTTTTTTAAATAAGTTCAGATCAAATTTTATTATAGTTGTAAATTTGAAAATACAATAGGCCATAATAAGATTGCAAAGATAAATTAATATAATATGTTATTATCATTCTTTGTAGTATTAGATAATAATATGCAATCTAGAATAGTTGCATAAGCATTAATAAGTGACAAGACTACAGATTTATATAAACAAGTGCTGTATATAACTAAAAAAGCAATGCAAGGCTGAATACTTAATAAAATTATAACTGATAAGAACTCTGCTATAGAATGTGCAATTATTATTAAGTATCCATTGGCATGTTACCTTTTTTGTATTTGGCATATAAAAGAGAATCTCAAAAAAACACTTTATAGAAAAATGAACAATTCATTTGCAGATTTTTATTCTGCATTTTGGAAATATTGAAATATTAAAACTTCTAATGCTTTTAATTATTTCTAGAAAGAAATTGTTACAAATTATCCAATAGCATCAGAATATCTTAAAAGTCAGTTGTATGAGTAATGTAAAACATAGGTATGTGAATTTACAATAATGTTATTTATACTTGAAATTGAGTTAACATTATTTATAAAAAGCCAGAATGCTTATATTAAATATATCTTTGAAAATAATAATACCTCTCTTTGTGAACTTAATAAGTTTATAATGAATTATGTTAAAGAATAACTAAAACAAAAACAATATAAAAATTAGATATATAGTATTTTTTTAACATCAAATAATGTAACAATCTTTTCAACTATTGAAGTACTTATTAGATATTATTTATAGCCAAATGTTATACAATATTTGCTTAATCAAATAAAAAAAAGCATCTATTATATTGCATTATGTTCTAGTATTAAAAAGGTTAAAAATATGTCTATTAATAAGTCATTTTAGAATAAAGATCTAGAAGATGAATTGGATAGTATATCAATATACACAAAATTTTTTTTACAACAATTAGACTATTTTAGTACTGTTAAAATTTGAAATATTTCATGAGTTATAAGTCATAAAATAAATTATATTGTGTTTTGTTTAAAAAATGTTATATTTTTATACATGTTTACTTCAACAAAAAAAAGATCTTATTTGTTATTACTATTTTTATTTATTAAATATTATGCAGACAGCATAATTTAATATAAGACTTATTGCTTCTAAATAGATTCTTAAAGAATTTACTAGGATGTAGCAATAAAAGATAATTATTTTAGACAACAGTTTGTTGACAGCATTATAGAGAATGAGAAGAATATAAAAAACAAAAGCACAAGTTTTAATTGAATTCAACTATTTTATAATACAAATAAGCAAGAAAACAATACAAATAAAAGTTTTGTTAATGAACTATTATTTTATAAAAGTGTATAGAGTTTGACATGTACTGTAACAAACAAGTATTTATTGCATTGTGATAAAAATTTTATTAAAATTATTAAAAACTATTTGGCAAATATATGTAAATGTGAAGATAATTTTATTTAAAGAAATAGGCAAAATTCTGATTTATAAAATAATTCAAATAAGAAAAATGAGTTAATAAATATTTAACTTAGAAATTCACAAAAAGTGATTACAAGAGGCAGATCAAAATCTGTAAGTTATTATAAAAATAAGACAAATAGGAAGAATAAAAATATAATGCAAGAATTAACAATATATAAAAAGAAAAAAAGAAGTCTAAATCTTTGTAGTAACTGTAAAAAACTAGGTTATAACATTGCTAGATGTTCTAAAAAAGATGTAAAGCAAACAAATAAGAAAGGAACAGAAGAAAAGACAAAGTAATACAACAAATAGTTTTATTTTTTATATACAAATAGTATACAAGGTATAATTTTATAACTTGTATTATAATAAAGTTATACTTAATAAACTCTAAGCTTAAAAAGATAAAACTTCCAAAAATACTACATACTTTGGTATTACTTATATATTAATATTCACTTTCTTGTTTTTCTGTAATTTGTTTATAAATAAAGCTGCATATAAATGTAAAGTTAAATAATATTTAATGTAATACTATAATAAATATTTATATATATATTAATAGTTTAATATATATCAATACAGATAGTAATTAATAAGTGTATTATATATTATTAATTATAGTTATATGATAGATTAGTGCATTGCAATACAGATGTATTATATTATAAAATTCTAATTTTTATATTTTTATTTTTGTATTTTTATTTTTTTATTTATTTTTTATTTTTTTATATTATTTTTTTATTTTTTTGAGGTTTTTTATTTTTAATTTTAATTTTTTTACTTTTGTATTTTTGTTTATTTTTATTTTATTATTTTATTATTATTTTTTTTTGATATTAAGGTAACCTCTTTGGTCTTTTGACTTTTATTAATCACTTATCAGTATTGTGGTTCAATGAACCACTACAAGAGAGCGTACAATTGGCTACATGTGTAACTTTTCTATATTACCTATTTAAGAAGTCTGCCTGAAGGTTCCCTACCAATTGCCATACCTAACACCCCTGCTTGGATGTTCTACTTTAAACCCTCTGAACCTGTAATCTGTGTTAACATCATTGGTCATCTTTGATGTACCAGATCATCATCCTTAACCTTAGGACTAATTTATCCTCAAGGTAAACCCTCCAGAGCCTTCTGTACCTATTTTTACAGCTGACCTAGGTATTGCTATGGCAGAACCAACACTTGCAGTCAGGGCTAACCATTAAATCACTATGCCCTTATAGAGTTCACTTAGACCCTAGCATCTACTTCATAGCATAACCCTGGTACTTTAGTATACCCCTGCCTTTTCCTCTGCCCATTTACCAAACTCCCAATTCAGATAGCTCATGTAGGACTACGACCAGTCCATCGGTATATCAGGTCGGCCTGATATCCTTTTTTTCTGATTTGTTCCGGCGGCCTGGTTGGTAGTACCTTCGAGACTCCCAACTCGGAGGTTCTTGCCTGTCTGGTTACTAGGACTGGATACTAGACCTGGGTATCCATTTTTCTGAGCTAGCCTTTACAGTAGGGCTGTTGAAGATCCAGCTACCTAGTTATTCTAAATGAATTTCTTGTTACCTAATTTCAACAGATTTACATGGCCACAAGGACTTATCTAGTGTTTGCACCACCTGATTTGTCGGTTTGCATTTCTCTGTGTAACACCATACTTACACAGATGCCCCATGACCTGCCAGTCATGCTGGTGTGACCGACATTACAGATATCCTAACCCAATTATTAGTAACAGTTGCCATGATACGAATATTACATAGGTGATTATCCAAATTTTCACTATCGATGAAATTTGAACACCCAATCTACTACTTGAAGGGTTGACAACATGACCACTTCATTAGATTGCCACATCCCTTATTTGTTTTTTTATAAAACTTTATATATATATATATATATATTTTTTTTTTTAAAGCCTATACTTTATAATGAACCTTTATTGACTTTATTGAGGTTAGTTTACACTATTTTTTACAAAGAAGAAAGTACAACTAGTCACATATGCAACTTTTGGTTGTTTGTTGAAGTAGTCCACTCTAAGGTTTTATATTAGATGCTATATATATAACTTACTAGGAGATTATTTATTTTAAACTCTCTAAACATCCACTGCATTATTAGTAAACACTATTATATTTCTTATATATATTCAGTATACCATCTGAGCAGTATAGTACTAGGCTGTTATATATTTCAAAGTATGTCACCTGTCAGTAAGATACAAAGGCCTTCTATGTTAGCTATCTACTCACTTTTAGAAATATTAACAAAAGCCATTCTTATAGAGTTTACCCAGATCCTAGTATTGACTTTATAGTATATTTCTAGTATCCTCTGCTTTGTTCTCAAACTCCTAATCCAGATAGTCTAATAGGACTGTGAGCTGTTCTTGATATATTAAATCTGGCCCAATATCTTTTTTTCTAGTCTAAAATCTGGCAGCCTAGTTGGTGATACCCCTCACTCAAGGTTCTTGCCTGTCCAATTTATTCACATTAGTATCCATTTTTAGGTATAGCCTTTACAATTGTATTTTTAAAGATCTGTATTATTTCTCTATTCAAAATTTCCAAATAAGCTTCAGTTTTTCCCAGTTCTACAGATTTATATAGCTATAAAAACTTATTTTAGATTTGTACTACCCAGTACCAGTATGCATTCCTCTGTGTAACTAAAATTATACAGATGCCCTCATAACTTGCCAGTCATGCTGATGTGATCATAGTTACAGATATCTTATTTTAACTGATTAACAGAATGCTGTTGCTATGATACTATCTATATATTATATAAATAATTATCTAAATTTTTGCTGTTAGTAGTTTTTAAACTCACAACCTACCACTTGGAGGGTTGACAACTTATCCACTTCACTAAATTACCATATCTCTAAACTTTACATTCTATTATAATCTTTATTTTAAGTTATAAAAAAAAAACTATACAGATTTTGTCTTTAGTTTGACTTAAACTATTAAAGATTTAAAAACTTAATTATAAATTATAAGATCCAAATTCTGCTAAGTACTAATATTTTTTAATCTTTTAATTGAGACATTTTTAAATTAAAAAAATAATAATAAATACTTTACAATACATATTTGTAAAAATATATAGTAATTAAAATTTTTTACAATCTATTTTAAAATAAAATTAAATCTTTCTATAATTTTATTTTATATAATTATATTTTATATAATTATATTTTATATAAGCATCTAATTTTGTAAAACAAACTACTATATATATAAAAAAAAATTTTTTATAATATATAATAATCTAATAAAATAAACAAATAGTTAACTTCTAAATAACAGGTTCAGTATTTAATTTTATAAATAATAAATTTTGAAAAAATTATACTTGTATTATAATAAACTGTTTTTTAATAAACAATAAAATTAAAACATCTGTAATCTTTTTTTTGGTATTAATATAAGGCTTTGCTTATATCTTTATTAGTAATTTAAAATAGTTATATATATATATACTATGAATAAAGCAAACACTTGCAGTTAATGCTAATCATTAAACTGTTAACTATACAATTACTACTATTTGTACAAAACAAATAAATTAAAAATTATATATAAGAATAAACTCAGACTAATTAATCTGTAACCTAAACCTATTAGAGTAGTCAAAGCTTATCTAGATTTGAATATTTAGTATATAATTTGATGATATGCTATATTTAATTTATAGAATAGACTAAATATTAATTTTATGAATTGTCTAGCCAATAGAAAAGCATGTATTAGAGTAAGTATGTAATTAATCTGAAAGTTCTCAGAGGCATGAATAAGTATAGTTTTTTTAAAAACATGTATGCCTAGTTGCTAAGTTGGATGATATTAAGTACTTGTTAATTAGTTGAGATTGAGGTCTATTTTTTTTCAGTTAGAAAAATAAATATAATGTGTTTTTCATAATTGCTTATATAATTGTTCATTAATATTAAAAAGAATATCAATAATAATTTGAAAAATAGTTTTACATAATATATCAGAATTTTGAACTGTTAATATAAATGACTTTGGAATAAGTTCTTTAAGAATAAAGTTGAAATAAAGTGTATTAAGTAAGATGTATAGAGGATTGAGAGCTGGATGATTAAGGATTTTATGAATTAGATCATTTTTTTAGTAAGTATCAAGATCAGATAATTTGTTAAAAACAATTTGGTTAGTAGAGGTTAGAATAATTTAGTTGAACAAGAGTAAATTAGTACAAATATGTTAGTAGGAATAAGAGTTAAATAGATTACAATAAAAACAGTTAGTATTTGGATATTGGTTTGAGTAAATAGTATGAAATAATTAGTATGTTGATAACTCATTAAAAAAGATTTTGATTTTAAAGAATTTTAGTTAGTTAAGTCTAAAATTAGTAATATTTATATAAGGGTTTTTGATTGTAATTAAAATAAAGCCAAGTGGATATTTAGTTAATATCTTGATTGAAGTATAACTATTTACTGTTATGTTTTTGTAATGCTCATATAGCTAATATGTAGACTTTATATATTTGCTTAATAAAGTATTTTGTAGGGAGTTCTATATAATATTGCTCTTATTGAAGAATATAATAAGAGTTATAAAGGTTTGTATAATTAAATAAAAGAAGTGGTAATGATGAGTGTTGTTTGGTAAGAGAGCCTGCTTGTTTATTAAGATTATTATTTGAGTAAACCTGCACTTAGTAAAAAATAATTTGTAGTTTGTGTGATTTAATATATTTAAAAGTATACTAAATAGGCTATGAATTAAATTTAAATAGCTTATTAAAGTAAATTAAGTTAAGTTAAAAGTTATTGAATTTGGAAATTACTGATTAAAAATTAGTAAAAATATTAACTACTGAATTGTATTGAGCTGTTTAAATTGCAATAATAATTAAGAAGAACTCAGCTTTGCATAATAAGAACCTAAATTGTATTTTAATAGAGAAAAAGCTTATAGTTTAATTATTATTATCAACTTGAATTCAACTAATACCCATTATGCATTGGTCACTACCAATGTTAATTACTGAGCCATCAGTATAAAAAGATAGTTGTTAGTAAAAATAATTATGATAAGAAATAAATAGCTTTATTTGGAATAAAAATTTCTGAAGCAATTGAATTAGTGATAGAAATAGTAGATACAGAAAGAATGCAGATTGGATGCTTAACAGCAGTAAAGCAAATAATGTTCAAGTAATTTGCATTGAGGTTAAGTTGGTGTTTGAAATTAGTTCTGCCAAGAAATTGTATTAAAATAATTGCAGAAATTTCAACAATACAA